GGGGACGTTAGGAGCAGCATCGTCGCGCTGCAGGTGGCAGACACGAGCAGAGCCGTTGTCGCCACGCAGTAGTTCTTCATCACCATCAGCGCTGGGGAAAAGGAAGCGGTGCAGGAGAGGGTCCATGAGCGAGCGGCCCAGAACGACGGCGGCGCGAGCGCGCAACATCGCTGCCAGCAGTGGCATGCCAGGCTGTATAATTCGGCATCTCTGGCACGGGATCTGAACGTGAAGCGTGGGTCGCTGGGGGCATCTCGCCATCGCAGACCTCGTCGTACTCACTGATGGCAGGCGGGACCGCGGGGCCATCAGTTCTGAGCAGGTAAGACCTCATATCACGCCGAAACAGACGAAGGGTAGACCAGTGCCAGGCGACGGCGCGCTCCCAGACCTCGTGGAACTCGTGCGACTTCACCCGCTCCAGGTACCGGGCGATGCTGTCTGCGCACGGACGAGCGACGCCATGCTGCAGCACAGATGTCGGTGGCCAACTCGTCAAACGTCCGTCCAGTTCGGAGCCTCTCGGCCTCCGCCCACTCAAGAGAGCGGAGCTTGGCTGCAACGAAAGGCTCGCACCAGAATTTCCAGTGGCTAAGGCCACCATCAGGCATGTCCAACCTCAGCATCCACCGCGAGGCCTTCGACACGGCGGACAGGAAGAAGATAACTTGAGGACTGTTGGGGTCGACCTCGTCAGGAGGCACGCGCGTGCCATGGGGGGCCATCATCGTTGCCAGCGGGGATCTTCAGAACAGTGCGGGGCGGCGATGGGGTCGTGGAGAGAATGCTGCCCATTTGAGAACGATAGACGGGTGCCAAAATCTGCGCGGCCCCAACGCCGGTTGATACTGCCAACAAAGCGCAGGTCGCCAAAAGGGCCTGCAGTGGCATCGCAACCATCGGCGCAGCGTCGTCCTCAGGAGCTGCAGAGGCAATAGGCGTGGAAGGCGTCAGCGGGGCCGACGTCGGCGAGCCAACCGGCGTCAACCGAGGCGATGAAGCAACGACCTGCTGACCAGCCAGCGGCCTCTGAGCCAAAGCGGCGACCAACGGATGACTTGATGAGGCAAGGCGACCCATGTCAGGGAGCGAATAGCTGATCCAGTCGTCGGCGGCCGAGGGCGTGAAAGGGGCCAGGCCAGGGCGTGGGGGGCCAAAGGAGGGGCCGCCACTGGAGCTCGGCTCGGAGGTAAACGAAAGGGAGATCACCTCAGGAGGATGCTGAACCCGTCGCTGCACAGGGATAGGCGGTGGCGGAACCCAACGTCGCAATCGGTCGCTCGGCTTAGATAGGCGAAGGGAGCGGATAGCAGCACCAACGTAGCCGCGAAGCTGCGATGGTGAAGCGATAGCCAAGCCGAGACGGGCTAGGTTGCAAGTCGGGTACATAACATAGAGAAATTCCAGATGATGAGGGCGCGGCTGAGTAAGGCCCCGACGCTCCGGGAGGGCACGGGCGAGGGAGCGTTGAACGCGACGGCTCGGAGCAGAATGGGGCAGCGCGCATAGTGCAAAAGACGGCCTGGTCGTTGGCACCCAAAGCGACATCTTAACTTGCCCTGCGGATGGATGATGCGATGAGACGCGAGCCATCCATTGCCCCAAGTGATCTTTGCAGACATGGCCCAACTCTGTGGAACAAAACATAGCAATTCATGGAGTTGTGGCCAGAGAACCCGGTCAAGGAAGGGGCGGTAGTCAGCGAAATGCGGGGCCTGGTTCCGCTTCAGCATCTGTGATAAGGGAGAGTGCGCGCACATATGCGAGCCAAGATAGAGCGCAACTGCCCGCTGTAGTTTGGGTCTTCTCGTGGTCACAGCTGCCTCGTCCTGGAGGGCCTGGCGGGCACCGCATGTAACCTCATCCTGGGAAGAGATCTGGATCAACTCGAGGTGTTCGACGAAGGCAAGAAACTCCCCAAACATGGGGTGAAGCCGAGCATGGTCCAAACATGATAACGGAGCAAGGTCGAAGCGGCCATCGTCAATCTCACGTTGCCAGCGCATGACAGAGCTGCGCAAGAGCTGCAGATAGTTGCAATGGTCATCGGATGTATGCGTGGCAGCCCGAAGCAAGGCGGCCGTCGATTGCACAGTCCACGACGGGAGAAGCGGCCCCCCCCCAAGACGGCAGCTCCAGAATCGATTCGTTCGAAAAGAGACCAAGCGGAGCCCGTAGCACCTGAGAGAGCGCACCACGTTCGATCGGGAGAAACCACTTGGGCATCGGGATGAACTGAGCAATATAGGACAGACACGGGTACGCACGATTACGATACAATATGCAGTTCGTGCTGACAGCAGCCGGCCCCCTCCCCAACATACGCGCACGTGTGCGAGCATTTCCCAGTGCGGAGTCCCAGCACATGTCGATCGTAGCCCCGGGGCCCAGAATCATGCCTAGATGCAGCATGCACCCCTCGATCGATAGGCCCCCCGCACTCCGAGGAAATGTGCGCTAGTTGAGCCTGTGCCATGGTGCGTAGCGTAGCCGTGATCTTGCCGACGAGGGGGACAAGAGCGCACCTGCTTATCTGAATGCGCAGGCCAGCGAGCTGACGCATCACGCCGAGGACGCGGACCATAATCTTAAGCGAAGCCATCTCATACAAAACTGCAAAGTGGTCGTCAGCACACGCACGACATACCCCTAACGAGCGGCGTTCGACATTGTGCTCGAGATCGGCAAGCATGGGAGAGGAGGCCGGGGAGTAGAGAGAACCAGGCAATCCAAATCCCCGGATCATCCCAGACCTGACCCATAATATAATAGTATACTGAGATTCATCAGTTATGACCCCTTTCCACTGCAAGGTACATCCAAGAGATCAAAGCGATGACCTCGTCTGGTAACCCAAGGGAGCCCAGCAGCTGGAGTAGGAAGGATTGGGAGAGACTGGGAAAGGCTTGCCCATTGCCGAGGCCGACCAGCATGGGGGAGCGCCGGGAGGCAAGAGGATGTGAGGCAAGACGAGCGTGTACATCCAACTCGAGCACGTTGTGGCAAACATTCCGTCCTCTGATAAAGCCTCGTTGCGACGATGGGGTAACCGCCTGGACTACAGGCTCGAGGGTGTGATTCATGACAGAGCTAAGGACCTTCACGTCAGTGTTTCTCAACCCAAGAACACTGCATCTGTCAGGAGGTCGGGCGCATAATCCTCAAGGTAGGTCAGCCTCATCGGAGCCCTTGGGGAGGAAGGCCTGGGGGGTCACACTAACAGGCGCATAGAGAGATTGACCTTGGCATAGCCACCCAGACGTACGAGACAGATGTTGAGCATCATAGTCGCAGGCCAACCAGGCAGCAAACGGGAGACCGCCCACCCCGGGGGCCGAGTGCATGGCCCGCTTCAGCACCTTCCTGAACATGGGGCCAGTGTTGATATGGGGGGGCCCCCGTGAGGAACCGATCGGGGCACTTCTGAGCGAGGGCTGTCTGGGGCTTCTTCTTGGCGAGAACTGGGGTCCAGCAGGCCGCGAGGGCCGAGGTCCTCTCCTGGGGGTCTGTGACTGGGCCCTCAGGGGTGCTGACCGCGGACAGGATGAGACGCTTCGAGAACGGAGCCCAGATAGAGGCCTTCCTTTCGAGAGCCCGAATAAGCGACGCAGAGCTAGGCCTCCACGCAGAGGATGAGTCCAGGGGGCCTTGTTCAGCAGAGGCAGCAGCAAATTCTTTTTCGCCGACAAACCGATGTACCCCATCGTACCAGCGCTTGAAGGTCGGGGCGCGGCGCAGCAGGACCTGCGAGCCCTCGATCACCAGCGCGTCGATGGCGTGCTGGGAGGACTCCATGAGCTGCGCGGCCAGGCCGACATCTTGACGCCAGACTGCTCAAGCAATCCCACGTGCAATCAATTCCAAGGTGCCTGGAAGACCGGGGGCAATGTAGAGCAAGCGATCCCGTGTCTCTCGGGCCGCCTCTTCCATCATGAGCTTGTAATGCTCCGCCGATGTCGGTGGACTCCAGCGGGGAAGATCGCCGCAGCCATCGGCAAGCATCCCCTGCAGCCTCTGTTGAAATAGCTTGGACGTGAAAATGCGCTGGGGATCAGTCGCCCCTGCCGAGGGCGAGCCGCGCGAAGACGAAGACGAACGGAAGGCGCTGGGGGCAGAGACACCTTTGGAGCTAAGAGCTTCAGGGCTAACGATAGCGCGCGCGTCGGTCATCGTCTGGCACATCATCCAGCACGTAGCCGAGCAAAAGAAGCGATCGATGATGTTGACAGAGTTGGTGAACTTACAGAAGTGACTCGGCGACTCAGCGCCGACCTCCATCATCTTACTCAAGATCGGAGTCAACAGTGGCTCATGAACCTTGTGGTCGTTCGTGAGCTGTGCCGTAGCACCGCGCGGGCGATGAAATATGACAGAAGAGTCAAAACTGCAGTTGAAGTCCCCCAGGACAACAACCATGAATGCTCACCGGTTCTCAGCGGCCCGACGTAGAGCTCCGTCAATCTGCTCGCAGACACGGAGAAGCTCAGCCCGAGTCAGGCCATGATTGTGCACATTGGAAATCACGTGCTGCGTCATCCCGAGTACTATGTCCACGCGTAGCACCCTGCCCTTAACCAAGGGCACCGCGCAGCTGCAGACGGAAGAAGAAGAGAGCGGAGGGAGAGCAACTGCAACCCCGCCAGCCCCACGAACCTCCTGCTCATCGCTATCCTCACAGAAGCTGCTATGGACGATGGCACTGGCCGAAGACCTAGTGACAAAGTCGTTCAACTCGGTGCGATCTGCGTGCTCCTCCTGGAGGGCAATGATAGCAGACCCAGGGCGTAGACGATGAACGTACTTGAGCTTCGGCGATGTCTTAGCTCCCCCAATTTGGAGCAAAGCTCGCGCATTCCACAAGAGAAACTGCAGGCTCGACATCAGCTCCCCTCCAACACTACTCACTGGTAAAAGGAACAAGCCGGTGTAGCTGCTAAATGCACCACTGCGTAGGAGCAGCCGTTGAAGTCTGGCCCCGCGCCGCCTCTTGCAGATCGCGCCAGTGGAGACCCAGGGTGCGGATGCCGATGTCGTTCCACGAGATCTCAGGCGCCTCGCCACCAGGGCGAAGGACGACTCGCAGCACGTCGGTGTAGTCAGCCTTGAGGACCAGACGTTCACGATCTACGAACCAGCGGCGCTGGGAGTCCAGTCCAAGCATGGCAGCGCGCATCTAGTGAAGAAGCATCCCACCGCGAACCTGATTGGGGGATTTCTCGGGGCCGAAGCGCAGCCGAGCAGGATCGGCGCCCTGGGCCCGGCAGTGGAACTCACGCCAGGCACCGTCGGACTTGAGGCCCCCAAGAGCTTTCTGGACACGGCGCGAGGCAAGGCCCAAGGACCCCGAGAAGCTGATCGAGAACTTCTTGGCAGGCAGCGGCGACAGGGCCTTGATCGTGTAATCCTCGTTCTCGGAGAAGTTGAGCTCGCCACGGAAGTTGTTGACAGCTTCACGAACCGATGCGATGCCAACGAGCTTAGTAGAGACGGCGATGACCTGAGTCGGGCCAACTTCGCGATCGAAGCCACGCGGGGCGGGTGGGCACGAAGGAATCATCGATCGATGGAGGCCTGGTCCTTGAGTTCCTGCACCTGTTTCTGAAGTTCGGCGATCAGGGTGGCGCGATTCTCGATGGCCTGCTCGTTCGACTCAACTCTCTGGGACAAAGCATCACATTGATCCTGCAACTCCCGCTGAAGCCGATCAAACATCGGCCTTGTGGTGTCCATGATCTGGTGGTCCTATAGCTTTGCCTGCTCCTCGATATGTCAGGTGAGCGTGGTGAGCGTGACACGGATCGGGCCATTCGTGCCATGAGCAGTGGTCGAGACGGCAGCTGACACGATGTGATCAAACTCTACGCGGAGCTGGTTGAAGCGGGAAGCGATGTCCGCCTGGTAGAATGCACGAGTGAATGCGGCGTGTTGCTCCTCATCATCACGAGCATGATGGTCAGGTGGATGGACAGAGCCGCCAGGGGGGCAGTCCAACGAGGCGGCCTGCGCCCAGGAACCGAAAGGTGGCGCACCGCTGGGCGTCGAACAATCGGCATGGGTGTGACGGACTGCGGGCTCTTGCTGCGATGGGAACGTATGGGGCCGCTTCCAAGTCCTCCGCCAAGGCCGCGAGCTGAGCTGGGTCCAGGGCAACACCGACCGCAGCGGGGTCAGGGCCACGATGCGAAGCGGCGGCATAAGCAGGCGGCAAGACAGCCCAGCCTGAGCCCCGAACGCGGCCAGCACGACGAGGACGACGGGGAGCAGCCATGGGAGTACCCGAGGGCCCGCTGGCTGCTTGGCGCGCACGCGCGGCACGGCGCACACCGCGGTTCCCTCCACTGCGAGATGCCGAGCGTCGGTCGTCCCCTTAAGGGCCTGAGCTCGAGGAAGCGATTGCGGTGTCGGTATCTGCATCCTTGCCTGCGTCCATGCGATGCACATGAGGGCGAGGACGATCGCACACAGCGGGGCCCATCGCGGACTGCGAGTGAGAGTCGTCGTCACCTCTCCACGGTGGAGCCAAGAGGGTCAGAAGGTGGGCCACAAAGCACGGGCACTGAAGCTCCTGTGCCGCGAGGCCTGTCTTCGCAAAAGGGGCGCTCTGAGCCGTCCCCTCGGCAGCGATCGAGCTCGAAGCGCCAGGGAAGCGTTTCGTACTTGAGCCAACATGGATACGGAGGAGGGGGGGGAGCAGGAGGAGGAGGAGGAGGGGGAGGCTGGCAGAAGGATACAGGCAGGGACTTTTTTTTTTTTTTTTTTTTTTTTTTTTTTTTTTTTTTTTTTTTTTTTTTTTTTTTTTTTTTTTTTTTTTTTTCAGTCTTTCGTTGTAGAACACAGAGAACAAGGAAGGCCTGATCCATGTTGTATGAACTGTAAGAGCGTTGACTGTTGTATGGTTGTTTTCGTGTTTCCTGTTTTGTTTTTTGGTGTTTCCTGTTGTATGGGTGGTTCGCTTGTCTTTCCCTGGTGTCTGGATTTTCTTTGTGGGTTATGTTGTATGGGTTCCCTCGCTGTCTTGGGCTGTATGGTTTATGTTTCGTCTCCTATTGTATGGTCACATGATGGTTTCCTGTTGTATGAACTCCATGTTGCTTCCTGTTTTACGGTTTCTCTTTACTTCTTCATATTGTGTTCAACGCGTCGCATTCGTGTACTAGTGTTCTGTATTCCGTGTATACTGGATCGGTTACGAAACCAAGCAGAAATTGCAATTCCACACGTCACCTTCGTTTCTTCTTGCGTTCTAAGTGTATTCTCCCTCCAACTTCCCCTGGCGGCGCGTGGATGGGCGGCCGCCTCTGCGGTATAGCCGAAGGGGGTCAGCCGGGCCTCGGCGTCCTCCACGGCGCCCTCCCGCAGCTTCCGGCGCGGCTCCTGCCGTCGCGGCGGCCGCACTCCTCCTCCTCCTTCTCCTCTTCCTTCTGTCCTTGAAGAAGCCGTTGGGCGAACACGAGCGCCCGTGGCGTTACTCCTACTCCTCCACCTTCTCCAACTATTTCCCGCGCCATTGGGGTCAAGCCCCGTAGCGCGCGCCCCTCCATCTTCTTCTCCTCCTCCTCCTCCTCCTCCTCCTCCTCCTCCTCCTCCTCCTCCTCCTCCTCCTCTTCCTCCTCCTCCACCTCTCCTCCTCGGCAATGACCCTGGCGGGTCTGGGGGAGAGCGTACGGAAACGTGGCGTGGATCCCTGGCTCAGCAGAAGCGGGAGGGGCGGAGCACCGCTCAACAATGTGTTGTGTACCCCACCTCGCAGTGTGTGTGTGTGTGTTTGTGTGCGCTCTGTGCCAAATCCATTCTTCGGTGCGCGTCACTGGCGCGCCTCATATCCGGCGTCGCCGGCGTCGTCGTTGTGGTGCGTGTTGATCTGCTCGGGACTTGATGCCCTTGCGCAGTGCCCACCACAACCACTAGCTCTTCCTCCTCAACCCTGGCGGTTGCACGCTCACCATCAAGGTGTACAGGCGTATGTTGCCCTTTGTTTGGCCTTCGGGGGGCTTCTCGTCGCCACGGCTGCGCTGCTCTCGAGATCCTGTCCAGAACGCATCCACGGAGATGGTCTGGCATCGAATTTGGGGTGGGAATGCTCTGGAAACGTGGACAGGAACAGTGCCAGACAAAACACCTGACCGTGGGATGGGGTCAAGACTGCTCGGGGCCCCGTACCTGTAAACACACGAGGCCAAACACTTGGTTCTGTGAACTCAGATGTGTGTTCCCTCTATCGCTCTAGTGCGTTCTGTTAGCCACGCTCGTCTTCTTCAACGTGAAGCTGCCTCCTTTCGTACCATCGGCATCGCCTTCGTAGCCCGTAGCTCCTGGCTCTCCGGCAGAATCATCGAGCGATGCGCGGAATTAACAAGCTCGTGAGGCCATATTTGGTAAGTGCCGCTCCGACCCTTGACAGGCGCTAAACCTGTTTTGTCTCGGAGTCGGAGAACGCGCGAACCAGTCGAAGCAAGTGTTGGGCCAAAACTTAGCACATTGTAAACGGGAATCCGAGGAGCGGGCAGAGAAGCGGCCGCGGAGAGAGGGAAAACGCAGCCTGCGCAGTGAGATCATGCAGCCCAAAGAGGCGGAGCGCGGCGGCCTCCACAGGCACTCAGCTCGCAGTCTTCAGGCAGGACGACGGCAGGGTCTACAAGCGGTGGGCGAACACAGACGAACAGCATTGAACCTGCTCGAGCAACCGGCGGCCAGGCTGCGCAGGACCCGCGCCAGAACCGCGGCTGCAAAAGACCAGCACGATGAGTAGAACCAGATCCTCATGGACCCTTTGTCATCCATCGGCCTCGGGCGGTCTTCTGCAGTCTTCTGGCAGTGTTTCGCTGCTTTCGGCGGTCTTCTGACCGTCTTTGGCGGATGTCTGGCGGTCTCCGGAGTCTCCGGCGATCCCCGGTGATCTTTGGCGTCTTCCGGCGGTCTTCGGCGCGAAAGCTGGACGGTTGTGTTCAACAAGGGGCCCATAGTCGAATACCTCACAAATGTGTCCTTTGCGCCAAAAAAACAGTAGCAAGGGAACGGAAACGTCACTGCAAGTGAACGACTTTAGTCCCACCGCGATGGGCGGATATGAAAAACAGACAGATTAACATATACAGGAGTTGACACATAACCTCCCGATGTGTTGTTGCTGTTGTTGCATGCGGACATATTCACGGAGAAACGCGATCGAACACTAACGAGCCACGCGCTAGCGCGGAAAGGTGTGGATGCGTTGGGTTGGCTCTGGAGCACTGCCTGAAACGACTAGGGGAAATCGCCATCAACAAGCCGCTGCGGAAGGTGCGTCGTCCCTCGTTCCTCCTGCCTTCTTCCTCATCTCCTTCGTCCTCCCCACTCCACCCAAAGTCATTATGACTGCGCGCTGGCTTGGAGCAATTGCCCAAACCACTTCGCCACATGATTCAAGATAGGTAGGACTGTAAGCTATGACGTCCTTCCGTATGCATTGTCTTCAGGAGGCCTAGGACGCCTCGAGTCTAAACAATCCCAGGTTGCCCTGTAAGCCTGGGTGACCCAACATCCTCGGTGACACACCAGCAGAGACCCTGGAAATGAATACAGATATGCACGATTTAACTGCCAGCAGCTGCGTGTTGTGGTGAAGCCACAATGGCAACATGAGGATTCTGAGCTGAACATACATGATGGCCCTGTACATGTCATCGAAAGCACTCTCTTGAGATGTTGTTCCAATCCCGACCGCAACTACGATATTCGAATCGTATAAACCGATGCCTAATTCGAACGTGATCGAGGCTCTGCGTAGAGCAAACACACAACACTGTCTGTCCCATCACAGCGCAACCGGCACCGTAATATGCCAGAGGAACATATTCGTGGAACGTTCATGCAAAAAGCGCTGCTGGTCAGCACGCCCACGCATCGTTTGCGGGTGTGGATCGATCAGGGCGACAATGGACCCCCCCTCAACGCACCCTGCTCTAGCGCGCGGGGCGCGCACCAAAACGTGTGGAGGGGCCTGGCGCCGACCGAAGGCATCTGCGCGGCTCTCGGACAGCATTCTTGCCACCCATCGAAGAAGCCCAGTGGCAGAACGAGGCGGCCGAGGGGGGAGGGAGGGACGGAGGGAGGGGCGGGCGGGGGAGGCGGGGGGCACGCAGCCAGCATGCAGGCCGCCCGAACTACGAATTACTCCGGCGGCCCCGGGCGCTGCGCCGAGCGCGCCTGCAGCGCCTCGCGCCGGGATCGGCGCTGCCCATCCCCCAAAAAACACGCCGACCGAAGCGCCTCCAATCGGCACGGCGTCGGCGGGACAACTTCTGTCCGCGCGAAGAGCTGAGTTAGGGATCGACGGATCGGAGTCGGCATGCTTCTCCGTCCCCTCTTCTTTTGGGTTTCGCGGGTGCACCTGCCAGAGGCCCTCGTCCTCCTCTCGGCAGGGGACATGGGCCGCCGGCCACCCCCCCGGGACTGAAGCCCAAGCGTTCTGCAGAGAATGCCCTCTGTCTGCTCACGGGGCCTCCGCGCGCTCATCTCCAGCCGTGCATCTGCACAATTATCTTGTGTCGTTCTTCGACGGACGGGCGTCGGTAAACTCCTCTGCCCTCAGGAGAGCCCAGAATCGAATCGACAAGTCGGATCGGCGATCGACATGAATCGGATCGGCGGAAAATCGGCAGCCGAGTCGGGAAAAGTCGAATCGGCAGAAATCGGCTGGCATATATGCCTCAATGGGGAATCGGGGTCCAGATCGAAGCGAGCCCTCTGCCCTGCGGGGCGCCTCGTACGCAGCGACCCACTCCGCGGGCGTGCAGTCCACCATGTCGTAGCGCAGCAGCAGCGGCTCGCGGCAGTTGACCCAGGCGGCCTCCGCAGCGGGCCGGGGCCACCGCGCAGCCGGCGCTCCTCGCCGAAGAGGGGACGTTAGGAGGGTTCTTCCATGTGGCTGCTCCTCGAGTGCTCCTCACGCCCTCAAGGGCTTCGGGGGCTTCGCTGCTGACTCAGCGCTTCTGATCGAGCCTGTCCTCCTACGGGCGGATGTTGGGAGAAAAATTCAAAAAGAGTCAAACAGTATTCAAAAATAATCCCCAGACCATGTTTTGACGACCGTTCGTCGTCGTCGTCGTCGTCGTCGTCGTCGTCGTCGTCGTCGTCGTCGTCGTCGTCGTCGTCGTCGCCCTCCCCTCAGGCGCGCCAGCCAAAGCGAAACCAAAGCGAAGCCGAGCAACGTCGTAGCTGAGTCGAAGGCAAAGCGAAATTGAGCAACGTCGTAGCTGAGTCGAAGGGAAGCCCCTTCCCTTTGATCCCTTCCCCGCCGGGGGGGGGGGGGTCCCGGGGGGGGTCCCGGGGAGGGGAAGGGGGGGGGCAGATACGCATCCCCCCCGGGATGTCCCGGGACCTAGAAAAGCCCCCAGACTGGCCAAGAGTGCCCCAAGAGGCTTCCAAGACGGCTCCAGAGGGCCCCGAATCGCCGAACCATCGGTCGAAGACGCCAAAGTAGCCTCCAGACGGCCCAAGAGATTGCCAAGACGCTCCAAGAAGTCTCCAAGAGCACTCCCAAGAGGGCACGAAGAGGGAAAAATCAATGATTTCCTCAAAGTTTTTGACAGATTTTGGCGTTCTCGCCGTTTCAACGTGCCGACGCTCCAAGACGGCCCAAGATGCACCCAAGATTGCCCCAAGATAGCCCAAGAGGCCTCAAGAGAGCCCCAAAATGACCCAAGAGAGCGTCAAGACCGCCCAAGATGCCTCCAAGATGCCTCCAAGATGGCCCCAGAGGCTCCCCAAACGGCTCCAACAGGGTGCCCAGACGGGGGGCCCGACGAGCCCTCGGCGACAGAGGCTCCCAGGAAGCCCCAAGATGCCCCCAATAGGCCACCACGAGACCCCGAAGAGGCCCCCAGGAAGCCCCAAGAGGCCCCCCCCGCCACATTAGAGAACGCATAGTTCGCCCTCCAGGGTCGGCGGCACCGGCCGCAAGGCCTTCGCAATAATCCCCAGACCATGTTTTGACGATTTTTGAATATTCCTCCTGTAGAGGGACACGCCCGACTCGGCAATAATTTGGACTGTACTCCCCGGGGCCTCTCGCAGGCGCTGCTCCGACCGGGAAGAACCTCCGAGGCGGATCCTACCGTGGAGACCCATGGGCACCCCGGTGGCGACTTCCTCCCCTGCGTTGAGGGGTAGCGGCAGAGGGGGAGGGGACCAGCTGAAGGAGGTGAGCATCGAGCTGGAGCTCGGCGATACTAGAAAAAGAAATGGCAGCATGAGCATCAACTTTTGGCGCTCCGCACAGACTTCTTGGATGTGCGCTGGACCCCCCACCTCCCTGGCGCGCGGAGCGCGCCAGGGGCGGCGCCGAGGGTCCCAGCGCGGATCCAAGAAATTCGCGCGGAGAGCCAAAAGTTTATTTTTGCGTTTTGTTTCCCCCTCGAGATACATCGCCGACAGAATGGGCGAGAGGCCCCCGATGGCAAGTCCGCACGTTCCTGGGCGGTGTGGGGGTCGACGCATCCCGCCTCTGTGAGGAGGCAGCTACTGGGAGGATTTTGTCGGAACGCCTACGGAAGATGCAACCCATTGGGGGGGTTCTACGCCGGATCAGGCCGCGGATTAAGCGGGATTCAACCCGATGTCGCGGGATTAAGCCAGATTAAACGGGAATGAGCAGGATGAAGCCGGAGTTCGGACCAGGGCAAATTCAGAATTTGACCTCCCAGCAGTTGCACCCGAACCTCTGAGCCCACCCGCCCTGGCGTTGCCGCTGGCTGCCGCCCCTGTCCCGAATTTAGGGTCAGGGGTCAGGGTTCAGGGTTGGGATTAGGTTTTAGGGTTAGGGGTTCGGGTTCGGGTTCGGGGTTACGGCTAGGGGTTACGGCTAGGGGCTCGGCTTAGGGCCCAGGGTTCGGGTTTAGGGTTAGGGATAGGGATTATGGTTGAGGTTTAGGGTTCGGTCTTAAGGGTTGAAGTTAGGGTTAGGGGCTAAACCCTCCCCGCCTGCTCGCCCGCCCACTTCGGCCCGCCTCCGTGTTCGGGCCTCTACGGGCCCTCATATAAGCTTTTGGGGGCTGCCCGCAGGCCACCAAGGAAGCCCAAACTCCAGCGCGAAGGGAGCAGATCACAAATCCTTGGCTGCCCCGATGCGCAACGCGCGACACGTAGCGCATCGATACCGAACTCAACACGCAGACTGGCAACGTGTGTATGACACGACAAGTTCGCCAAAGCGTGGGCCGATGCGCCGAGCTACCACGCAACACAGTGGCACAGACGTCTTAAGCACGGTACATGTTGCGTTTCAAGACGGGCGTATCGAGGCAGCTTGGCACAGATCCGAACAGGACGGCTGTCGGGCTGCGCCGCCGGCTGAGGTCGGCGGGCGTCGGGAGGGGGCCGACGTGTGCACCACGTCGTTCCGTCGAACCCGGGAGCCCAGGAGTTCGGCGGAGGATCTCGGCGCGTCATTGTCATAGGTAATCCCGCATCCCACAGTTTGCGCAGGGCGGGGCGTCAAGGCACCAAGCTTTTGTGGCCGATCACGCGGCGCAGTTTACACATCGAGACCAACCCAGGGCGGTGGGGAAGGGCATACGCGTTCACTCCGCTTCCTGTTCATCCAGACAAGCGCGTTCAACGACTCGCATAATAACTACACGCAACTGGCCTGGATCCGCCGCGGGGCACTTACGATCCAGCACGTCGAGGCAAGCACGTGATTTGTCAGGGCGTTTGCGAGTAGACGCCCTGCGAACAACTGCGGGGACGCGCTCGAGCATCATCGGCGGACGTCAGCTTGACGCCCTCCTGCGCCGTCCTGACCTGGCCCTCCCGGAGCGGAGCGCGCCTCCCCTCGGTCCACCACTCCCTCCTCCGGGTCGAGGACGGGGGGTCTGAGGAGGAGGAGGAGGAGGAGGAGGAGAAGGGGGAGGATGAGGAGGAGGAGGAGGAGGAGGAGGAGGAGGAGGAGGAGGAGGAGGAGGAGGACGAACGCACAGGCGGGAGGCCGGGGGGCGTGCCAGGGAGCCCGCGGCGCAGCGCCTGCAGCCGTGGGGCCCATCCTGCAGATGGCGCCCCGAGGCCCGTCGTCGGAGCGTCTGCCGGCGGTCGAGGAGATCCCCCCGCGAGGGGTGGGGGGGGGGGCACGGCAGCAGAGTCGCTGCTCGACGGCCCTGGGGCCAGGGGGGGGCGGGCCGACAAGGGCGAGAAGCGCAGGACCACTTGACACGACGGCCCGTGTGCGGAGCCCGCTTCCGCAGCCAGCCATGAATCTAAAGCACGTTCTTGCACCTCTGGCGGGGGCAAATGATGATACCTCAAATTTCCGCCCACATTCCGCCATCAGAACCACCCGCAACCTGATTCCGTCAACTTTAACGGGCGTTCTTCCAAAGAAGAGAGGTCGACTTCTTAATCCCTCGAGAGCACGGCCGTTTCTGGAGCGTCCCGCGTTGGCTCTGGGAGATCTCCGGACCCATGCCCAGGGGCAGCGTTGCGTCGCGGGCCGCGACGGACATCCCCAGCGCAGCTCTTTGGCGCCCCCCCGCCCACAACGGGCATCCACCGATGCTCCAAGGGTCCAAGGAACCTTTGAGAAACATTGCAGGGGTACAGGGCGGATTTAATCACGCGGCCGACGGCGCCATCTTGTTCGACCGGTGCAGCCTGTGGCCCAACTACCAGACCTACACGACCCGGGGAACAACCAATACTAGACCTGCGGCGCAACCTACGGCGCAACCTACAACGTAGGATTTACACAGCCAATGAAGAAACTTATGGCGAAGCCTTTTTGCGCACCCAATTGCGAAACTACTAGCAGACCTGCGACGCAACAATCCATGATACAACGCATAGCCGCAGCATAGGAGCGTGTGTCGCAACCAATACAAGACATACGACACATATAATGGCGCACCCTATGGCGTACCCTATGGCGCAACCTGTTGGGCTATGATTTTCCATCCTACTTTTAGGACCACATTCCAGAAATAGGTTCGAGCACCCAGAGAAATTTGGAAACAGTGTCTGCCAGACACGCTTCCGAATTGTCGAACGAGCATCGCTTCCCAGGGCCCAAGATGCGAAAAAACCTTGAATTATGGTGCTACCTTGATGCTCGAACTTCTTTCTGGTGAACGAATCCAAAGTTGCAAGAAGAAGCATATGTTGTAATTGCTGGGCATAACTTATGTTGTTGGAACATCACAACTGAATGAAAAACACTATGTTATAACTGCTCCGGCATTGGACAATGTCGTAACCGATGGCGACCGTTTATGCAACCGACCTCACAACATCTGATAAAACCTCGACGGAACATATGGTGCAACCCATGCCACAACAATTGATAAACCACTGCCAGACTTACCGAACAATCCATGGCGGCCCTCGGCACTTCTTGCGCAGCCCAAGCGCTACCTGTCGTTCCGTGCCGCGTGAAGAATCTAACTCGTGATTCTGCCTCCCACGTTCCACATTGTGCCATGCCGAGTGCTGTGCTGTGCGCCAGACTGTGTGCCGTGCCATTTGCCGTGCCGTGTGCAATATGCTGTGTGCCATGCCGCGTGCTGTGCCATGTGCCGTCTCTGTCGTGTCGCGGGCCCCAAGCCGGGCCTCCGGTACCGACGTGCCACGTGTCGTGGATCCAGCTCATGATTCGACGTGCTGCAATACGCTGCTGTGATGTGCCGTGTCGTGCGCAGTGCAAAGCCGTGCCGTCTCCTGCTTGGGTCGTGCCGTGCCGTGCTGTTGCAAGTGCCGTGTAGACGCTCTGTCTGCCGGGTGAGGCTGGGCATATGACACAGCCGCCGTGATATCTTACGAGCAGGACGTCTGTTGCTAAATCTGGGTGGGCCATCCAAGAAAGGACCCAGGCCTCCGTTGGTCCCCACACGTCTCCAGAGCCGAGTGTCCTGGCGCTCAACCCAAACATATGCGGGTTCGAGTGCTCCAGGGCAGGTGGGACGAACGACGTGCAGCTCCCATGCGGCCACGAAACGAGCGAGGGGTGTGCCCGTCAGGGTGCGGGTACGCCACGTCGACCCTGCCACTGGGGCCTTCGGTGGAACTCCCTATGGGGTCACGAGCGGTGCGCCGAGCTGGAGGGTTGAACTGCCAGCGGATCCTGCCACTGGGGCATTCGGTGGACCGCCCTGCGGGGCCATGATACGGTGGGGGCATTGTATAAGGAACCCTTAGATAAGGAATCCAGGGTCTGGAAGCCAGTGGAACTCCAATCGAGGCTTGGCCGTGGATATCGCCGCCCCCTCATCAGATAAGGAAGCGTCCTGGGCACATTCCTTAACCAATGCCACCGCCGTAAGTGCGAGGGGTGCGCCGAGATGGGGGTGGACCCGCATGCGAGCCCTGACACTGGGGCCTTCGGTGAGCTCCCTGCGGGGCCACGAAACGTGTGGGGGTGCGACGAGATGGGAGACGGGACTGCGTGCGGACCCTGCCGCTGGGGCCTTCGATGGAGCTCCGCATGGGGCCACGAAACGTGTGAGAGGTGCGCCGGATTTGGGGGCTGAACCGCATGCGGACCCTGCCACCGTGGTCTTCAAAGGAACTTCCTATGGGCCCACGAATTGTGTGAGGGGTTGGAACTGCATGCGGAGCCTGCCCCTGGGCCCTTCGATGGAGCTCCATGCCGGGCCACGGAACGTATGAGGGGTACTCCACATCCCTGATTAGGCGGCCCCCGGGGCCAGTATATTAAGGAGCCTTTCTCCAAAGGTGGGAGGCCAGAATATTAAGGCGGTTTCGCGTGACCGAAGCGAAGGGGGGGCCGGAGAATTATGGCGCTTTTTGAATGGCCACTTTGGGCAAGAGGTTTGAAACTGACCGCAGTCGCAGCCATACATGTACATATACACAAATGTATGTGCGTGTGTGGCGTATATATGTATAGATATGGCGCCTGCACCACAGCATCACATGCACGATCAAGGTGTTCATCGTATTGATCATAACTGTTGTCGACGTCGCAAACCCGACCGAGTTCTGATCACCAATGCAGCCACCACTGTGTAACTACACCTCCATCATGTCCACCAGCTGAACTGCAACGCTCAACTTTCCCAAAGGGGGGGCCGGAATGTTAAGGCGCCTCCCGTGGATGGGGGGACGGGGTATTAGTTTGCCGAAGCAGGGGGGGCAGTATTTCAGGGGGGGGGGGGGCGTTGAATTCACCGGCCCAACGGGCCAGGGCGTGCTAAGATCTCCTGTACCTGGTTAACAATATTTCTAGTTCGCGCGCGCGGGGCGGCCCCTGGGGGTCCCCGGACGAATAGTACCCCGGCAAGGTCCCGGCAAGTCCCCGGCAAGGTCGGGCCAGAGATGCCGGAGTTCTGTTACAGGGCCCCAGGACGGGCCAAGAGGTCCCCAAGAAGCCTCCAAGACGGTCCAAGAGGGCCCCGAGACGGCCAAAGATCGCCCGAAGACGCCCAACAGGGCCCCAAGACAGCCCAAGAGGCCTCCAAGACGCCCCAAGGGCCTTCCAAGAGGCCTCCGAAGAGGGCCCCAAGAGGCCAAAATCGTTGATTTTCATTGTTTTTTCTATGTTTTTTGCGTTCTGGCTTTTTCGGCTTCCGGACGCTCCAAGACGGCCCAAGAGGCCCCCAAGACCGCTCCAAGACGGCCCACGAGGCTCCCAAGACGGCCCCGGAACGGCCCAGGAGGGCCCCCAAGACGGCCCAAGTGCCGCCCAAGACGGACCAAGAGGCCCCAAGACGGGCCCAAGAGGGGCTGAAGAGGGGAACCGAGAACTGAAAAATCGAGCCCTCCGCCCCAGAAGGCGCCCAGGAGGCCCCAAAAAGGCCCCAAGAGGCCCCCAAGAGGCCCCCAAGACGCCCCAAGAGGCGCCCAAGAGGCCCAAAAGAGGCCCCAAGAGGCCCCAAAACGGCCCCCAAGAGGCCCCAAAACTCGGCTAGCCCACAACGGTGCGACAATATGGGCCGGCGGAATGAGCGAAGCGACTAATAATAAGGGATGTGGATAACGTTGAGATGGGGTGTGAAACTGCATGCGGGCCCTTCCGTTGCGGCCTTCTGTGGTGCTCCCTACGGGCCACGAAACGTGTGAGGGTTGCGCCGGCATGGGGGGTGGAACCGCATCTGGGCCGTGCCACTGGGGCCTTCGGTGGAGCTCCCTGCGGGACCACGACGTGTGAGGGGTGCGCCGCAACGGGGGGCAGAACTGCATGAATACATTCTTGGTTGGATCACAGAAAGTGTGTGAGGGGTGAACCGGATTAGGGGGTGGACCCGCATGCGAGCCATGCCACTGGGGCCTTCGGTGGAGCTCCCTACGGGGCCACGACACATGTGGGGGGTGCGACGAGATGGGAGACGGGACTGCGTGCCCCTGCCACTGGGGCCTTCGATGGAGCTCCGCATGAGGCCACGAAACGTGTGAGAGGTGCGCCGGATGTCCTTCCGCTGCGGCCTTCCATGGAGCTCCCCACGGGCCACGAAACGTGTGAGGGGTGCGCCGAATCGGGGGGCAGAACTGCATGAATACCGGCCACTGGGGCATTCGGTGGAGCTCTTGGTTGGATCACGAAAAGTGTGTGACGGGTGCACCGGAGTGGGGGGTGGACCCGCATGCGAGCCATGCCACTGGGGCCTTCGGTGGAGCTCCCTACGGGGCCACGACACGTGTGGGGGGTGCGACGAGATGGGAGACGGGACTGCGTGCGGACCCTGCCGCTGGGGCCTTCGATGGAGCTCCGCATGGGGCCACGAAACGTGTGAGAGGTGCGCCGGATTTGGGGGCTGAACCGCATGCGGACCCTGCCACCGTGGTTTTCAAAGGATCTTCCTATGGGCCCACGAATTGTGTGAAGGGTGCAGCGAAATTGTCACGCGGAGAGCAGAAACACCATTATGACGATGGCGATGGTGATGATGAAGATGATGATGATGATGATGATGATGATGATGATGATGATGATGATGATGATGATGATGATGATGATGATGCTGATGATGATGATGATGATGATGATGATGATGGTGATGGTGATGGTGATGGTGATGGTGATGGTGATGGTGTTGATGATGATGCTGATGGTGGTGATGATGATGGTGGTTGTAATGTCCTTGATGATGATGACGATGACGATGATGATTGTGGTGATGATGATGACGATGGTGATGATGATGATGATGAGGATGATGATGATGATGATGATGATGATGATGATGATGATGATGGTGGTGGTGATGGTGGTGAAGGGGTTGATGATGACGATACTGATGGTGATGGCGATGATGTTGATAGTGTTGGTGATGATAATGACGATGACGATGGCAATAATGATGCTGATGCTGATGCTGATGCTGATGCTGATGGTGATGATGATGGTGGTGGTGATGATGCTGATGCGAATGATGATGGGGATGATGTCGCTGGTGTTGATGATGACGAGGGGTTTATGATGATGCTGATGACGATGACAATAACGATGATGATGAGGATAATGGTGATGATGATGCACATGGTGATGATGATGGTGGTGGTGATTATGATGATGACGGTGATGATGACCATGACGATGACGAGGACGATAACGATGACGATGACGTTGACGACGACGTCGACGATGCCGATGAAGATGGAGGAAAGGAGCAGGGGGAGGAGGAGGAGGAGGAGGAGGAGGAGAAGGGGAAGAGGAGAGAGCGGGAGGAGTGGTGAGGAACGCGGGGTGATGTCTCTTCATGACGAGGACCCAACACGACAGAGGGGTTGGGAAGATGATGCAGAAACCCTCCAGCATCTCGATCCTCAATCCTCGGAAGCCGACTCTCGAACCCTGGGATGCACCAACTAGGGTGCTGCCTCCACTTGGGCAAGATGATCCTTGCTTCAAGTGCGGGCGGTAGTCTCTCGGCCACCTGAGAAGCCCGAACACTGCCACAGGCCCTGGAATCAGGATCACCTCCCCACGGTGGAGGAGAACGCCGATGTTGGTGCTGGTGCTGTCTCGTACTGATGGACAGGTGGCGGACTCTGGAAACCCTGAACCCAGAAATAGTTGCATCTCTTGGGGACGCACTTTTTACTTCAGCCACCTGCCGCCGCCCTTCCACCGGTTTCCGCTGGCGGAGGCGGCCTCGTTTTACCTCCGCCGATCTTCCGCCGCCTTCCGCCGAGGAAGAGATGACAACCTTTTCGATCCTCGAAGGCAAGGCTATTTCTGGAACGCCTCATGCGGGGCAAGGAGGGCTGTGCGTCGAGGGGCAAATGATGTCTTATGAGTACCACCTTGGGCGCCGACCAGCACGGTCGCCCTCCAGACCTAACACGGCTACACGACGAGAGACAAAGGGGGAATGAAGAGACACATAACATGGGCCCACTATGTACGACCCTCGGGAAACAGTGCCAACCGGCAGGCCTCCGAGACGTGTGCGCTCCCGCCCCCCGCCTTCAGCGCCCCCTCCGCGAGCAGCTCGCCGCACTCCCTCGGGAACGGCAGCCAGTCCGGGTGCTCAGCCTCGCGCGACGACGACGACGATGCCGATGCGGCCGCCGCCGCCGCAACCGTCGACGACGACGACGACGACGACGACGACGACGACGACGACGACGACGACGACTTCGACAGCGGAATGATGGCGCAGGCCATTTTGCCCACGAACCCTCGAGGATCGAGGGGTGAATCTTTGCACGCCCACGGCTTATGAAATCTCCCAGCCCCTCGCCAAAGGGGCCACGGGACGCCTCCCGAGGCTTCCGAGGACGCCCGCGGGTCAGGGCCGGGGGAGGGCGATGATATTCGAGTATGGGATCGACTACAATCGGGGAGACGTAAGACCCGGGTACGGGGGACTCGGAAATCCCCGACGAGGTCGTCAACAAAATGACGAGGCCGAGCCTGCATTTTGACGAGGCCTCCCGCTGCAGACATCCCACAAAACTCTTCCTCGTCAAAATCCGAGTCGCGGTCGTCAAAAAACGATGGCGAACCCGAGTCCTGGCAAACCCGGGTCTTACGCTTCCCCGATACAAACTACAACATTGACTTGCCCCAGAATTGGGTGTTCCGCCGGATCTACGAACAAGTCGTACAATCTGCGGGACATTCTTCGTACTTTTCGTAGATTTGACGGAGACACAACTGTTGGGGTAAATCAATTATGTAGTCGATCGTCGATTCGAGATGAAGGGTGGAGGCGGACATGGAGCGGAATCCTGCCACGGTCAGGAACCCATTTGCTACGCAAAGGTCTCGGCGGCGGTCCTGGGGACACGACACGCTGCGACACGCTGTGCCCATGCGGGCGGATGCAGCGTCGCCGCGCTCCGCGGCGAGGCTGGGAAGAGCTCGGGGCGCTGACACCTGGAAGTGGGGACGTGATCGGCGTGACGCGGCCCAGGGCCAGAGGTGGCGACGACGAGGACGTGGACGAGGACGAGCACGACGAGTAAGACGTTCACGACGAGTACGACGTTCACGACGAGTACGACGACGACGACGACGACGACGACGACGACGACGACGACGACGACGACGACGACGACGACGACCCGCGGCGCCACGCGCCAAGCCGAAGCCCCCGGCCCCCCGCGGGCGGGCGCCGAGAGGCGGGCGGGGGGGCCGGGGCGCAGGCCGCCGGCCCCGAAGAAGGGGCCGGAGCAGAGCAGGGCACCAGGCCGAGCCCCGTGCAGCAGAGGAAAGGGGGGGGAGGAGTAGGGAGCCCACAAAGGACGTACGCGCCCAGCTATGTACATGAACACGGCCCCTCGATCCGTGAGACCGGCCGCGTTATACGAGCATTTGCGCAATGTGAACTCTCGAAACCAGCGTGGATTCATGTACATGTACGTCCTTTTTCCGCTCCTGAGGGGAGGAGACGGACGGGCGATTTTCGCCCTTCGGTGGCAACGCCCGGGAGCCTCCCCACACCATCTTTGTCGGCGCTGGTCGACGCTTGCCGACGCTGAGAGACGCTCAGTCGGCGCTATCTCATCGCCTCCCAGACGCGAATCGACGCCACTCGACGCTAGATACGGAATCGAGAGGGTATACCAGGCCACCATGATTTCCTACCGAATCGTCCGCCCCGTCGTCGTGTTGCTTGCTCTCTTCCCTGGGGGAATCGGCGGTGGACAAACCTCCCTTTAGTAAACCTCCCTTTAGTGAAAACGGCCTGGGACCGAAACCGACGGACCTGGACCCGCAAAAATGACGTCCGCGACGCCCTCTCGCGAACCGAAAACGGCCAATCCGCGAATCGACGTGTCAGGATAGGAGGTCTACGAACCTCCGAGGGAAGGGATGGGAACGTACGAGGCACCGCTTCACTCTCGCCTCCGGCTGCCTCCGGCTGCCGAGCACACGAAGGGCCCCCCCCCCGCTTGCAACGGCCCGGTGCACGAGCCCTGGGCTCGGGCCACGAGGCGAAGGCACGTGTCACAGGGCATCGGTGCAGGAGCGGCTCCGCCTCGCCGGCGTTGCTGCCGCGGTCGCCGCCGTTGTGATCGCCCTACTCCCGACATCTGGCCACATCCTGCACCGCGGAGCCATGTGTCCCCATCCGGTGGGAGGCTCACAAGTCTTGTCATCATCGTCGCCATCATCATCATCATCATCATCATCATCATCATCATCATCATCATCATCATCATCATCATCATCATCCTCATCATCATCATCATCATCAGGAGCATCATCATCATAATCATCATCATCATCACAACCATCAGCATCATCATCATCATCATCGTCATCGTCATCGTCATCATCATCGTCATCATCATCATCATCATCATCACCGACATCATCATCGTCTTCATCGTCATCGTCATCGTCATCGTCATCGTCGTCGTCATCATCATCATCATCATCATCATCATCATCATCATCATCATCATCATTAACACCATCATCAACAACAACATCATCACCATGCGATGGGGGGGCACGTGCCAGCCGGCGAGCAACCGAGAAGACCTCCGAGCCTCGGCCAAGGCCCTGCGCTGGCGGCGGGGGCGAAGCCAGCTGCGTGCCGCATATGTCGCAGCCCCCAATTTCCCAGTCCACCCCCTCTCGTCCGCCCCGAACCCAGATGGAGACACGCCTGGCGAAGCATGGAGAAGGATCAGAAGGAGGACGACGATCCCAAACGGCACCGACCTGCGATCGCAAACTCTCTCGACCCGTCGGAGTAAGGGTGGCTTCGTGCGCGAATCTGTTTCGGGTCTTGCACGTGTTGGTCAGTTCAGAGACAGCACATGTCACTGCGTTCAATTCAATACGTTCGTTACTCTGCTTCGCCATCTAGCTGGAGAGGGGAACCGTCCAGCAAGCGTTCGATTTGGTTTGAAATCTCCGGGCCCAGAGCAAATCCCTCACTCAGGTGGTCTGGGCACCTGATGTCTGGTGCACACTCTGGAGCGCTCCGAAGCTCGCGCGTAGCACAGTAACAGGCCAGGAACCTTTTGGGCGGAGAGCGGCAACGCACTGAATCAGGCTGCAACCTGCCAGAAACGGTAACGCAAGCGACACGCCCTTAGAGAAGGCGAGGTCGGAATCGCGGCATGCTCTGCCATCGACCCTCTCAGGGCTACGCCACGCCAGCGGGTGTCCCTTCCTCTCCACTCCCCAGACCTCTTCTTGGGCGCAGACTGACAAGAAAGTCCATGCGAATCCAGTCGTGGCGGCGAGGCCATCCGGGACGTCCAAAAAGGCGAAAACGAGGCAAATGCAGGGGCATCGGTGCTTCATTTGTTCCCAACCAACCTGTGATGATGGGTCCTCGTTTTGACGAGACAGCGCTCCGCGTCACTTCTCATTATTCTCCTCGACCCTCCTCCCACCCCGCTGCCCCCTCCCTCCTCCTCTCAGCATCACCATTCGCACAATCATCATGATCATGATGATGATGATCCTCATCATCAGCATAATCATCATCCTCATCCTCATCCTCATCATGATCATCATCATCATCATCACCACCACGAACACCATCACCATCATCACGATCATCATCAGCATCATCATACTCATCGTCATCAGCACAACCATCAGCATCATCATCACCACTTCGCTCACCACCACCAAAACAATTATCAGCATCATCGTCACCAGTAGTAGTATCATCATCATGATCATCAGCACAACCACCATCACCAGCAGCATCGTTACCATCATCATCATCATCATCATCATCATCATCATCATCACCTTCATCATTATGTTCATCCTCATCCTCCTCCTCATCGTCATCATCATCATCATCTTCATCAGCATCATCATTATAATCATCATCATCGTCATCACCATCACCACCACCATCACCATCACCATCACCATCATCACCACCACCACCATCATCATCATCATCATCATCAGCATCAGCATCAGCATCAGCATCAGCATCATCATCATCATCATCATCATCATCATCATCATCATCAGCATCCGTAGCCATTTTGGCTCAGGCCTTTTCCGTAGGCCTCCTGCTCCTGGACCTTCTGAGGGCCTTGGCTCACGGAGCGATGGTGGCACGGGATGGCGCGGAGTGCGCGCCAAGGCGATCGGCGGCCTAGCGCAGGGTAGGCCGAGAATGGGCGAAGTGGTCCGCCGACAATGCCGTCAGGCGGCTCTCGGGCGAGCTGGCCAAAACCCAATTTCGCCTGGAGGCCGCGGAAGAGGCCCTGCGCGCCGTCATCGGCGTCGGCGAGGTTGAGCAGCGACTGCAGGCGATGCTCCCCGCGCTGCAGGCCAAGCTTGGGCGTAGGTCCCCCACATGGCTCGAGCGCCTGCGGCGTAATGTCGCCCTCCACGCTGAGGCGCAGGGCGTGGACATCGTGGCGGCGGGAGCGGCGGAGCTGCGCTGTGCCCAGGGGGGGCCCCGGCTGGAGGGGCGCGCGGCGCCCAGGCGCGAGGCCGAGGAGGCTGCCGCTGGGGCGATGCGGGCGGAAGCCCCCTCCCTTTTTCCTGCCGGCCTCCTTGGTGCTGTCACGCCCGACCTCGCGCCTGAAAGAATCGGCCGAGATGAGGGCGTCCGAGCTGCGCGGGCGCGGCGCCACCGCGCAGCAGTCGCCGTGAGCTTCAGGGATTACGTCAACGCTATCGCGGAGGACGGCAGCGAGCAGCTGGAGCCTCTGGATGGCAGGCCGCGGGTGCGGTTGCCTGGGGAGCTCAGGCGCCTGCGGAAGCGCCTCCTTCTACTGGGGCCAGCAGCGGTCCTTGGGGAGCCCAGACAGGGGCACACCCTAAAGGAAGGCAACGGACCTTGGCGCGAGGCCGCAGACATGCGGGTGGCCGAAGCCCTTGACCAGGTCCAGCCTCCACCCTGGGCCGCGGATGCGCGGGTGGCCGAAGCCCCAGGGGAGAGAGGCCCCTCCTCGGCGTCGGGGCGCGGAGACGTCCTTGGGGAGCCCTCTGCTGGGCAGACCCAGAATGGTGGGGGTGAGCTCTGGAGCAAGGCCGCAGACGTGCGGGTGGCCGAAGCTCTTGACCGAGCTCAGCCCCATTCCAGGGCCACG